TCAACTTTGAGAGTTTCCGGCACGCAAGAATTATCAGCGTTTTGGTTTTTACCTGGGTACCAATCATGGATCCACTAAACGCTCCAAGGAGTAAGGAACCGAATGCACTCATTCTGGATGGGAAGGCTGTGTTTCCGAGACGGCCACGAGCAATGTCAGCATGGTGCGCAACAGAATTTGGTGGCACTTCGCGCACTCGTTCCGCCGAATGTCACGAGAGATGGACATTAAGGAGATTACTTGAGAATTCCCAAGCAAATTGCCATCTTAAGATTTGAAAAACATTGTTTGATCTTTCATAAGGAAGGGATTTCCATAGGGCAAGGGTGGTGCTGAACTGGGTCAGAGCCAATTTTGTCGAATTCATCACTTTCAACGAGTTGGTCAGCATTTCAGATTCAATATAAATGGCTTACACTGTGGAATTGATTCTGTAAGCTGAAAGCTTGCATGGAACTTTACATTTTTGGGGATTATTTTGAAGAATTGCTTCAGAATACGTAGGACGGGTTCCACGCACTACCTTGCGTGCCACCGTCGATGGTTCCTCACTGCTTCTCAAGGCCCGTATAAGTGCCAACGAAGGAATTTCTGAGATTTGGCAGATGTTTACGATTCATTATTGAACAGTGAACGTTACTGCATTTTTGGCTTCCTGGAATTGTGGCATGTTCATTCTAGGCAACTCGAAATCGCTGTCGCCATAATTTTGGCGCACCCTGTATATCATGTCGATACAGTGATATTTATTTTAAACTGGTTTGGTTTCTGACGAATTGTTGTAGTGTACCTACAGCAGAGTCAACCCTGCGTTGCGCAGTTCGCAACGGCACGTTGAGAGATCCTCAACGCACGCTGTATGGGCGGAGACACAGACGGCTCGAGCATGCGAGTGTGAATGTTCGCGCGAGAGAACGTGTCTAATCGGGCGAAACTGCGCAACGTGGCCGTTGAAAACTGCGCAACGCAGGGTTGACTCTGGTTGGAAATTTACTTTTGAGGATTACAATATGTTCAGTGTTCAGTATGCATATAGAGCATGTATATTCAGTATTTAGCAGCTCCAGAGGGGTAATTTCGAACATTCTGAGCATTAGTGTTTGTAATATTGTGAAATGTGTACTGGCAAATAATAACCAAACTGATGAAATGGGTTCCGAACTTTTTTCACTCGAGCAGAAATACTGTAATGAAGTGGCCGACTGCCCTAGCATCCCAAGAAAGAAATCCCAGATTAGATCCCGAATACGACAATCGAATTTGTACAGATGAATGACCGGCAGTCACAGAACAAAACATTTTGATATCATCACTTTATGTGATTCGTAATAACTTCGTATAGCATACATTATACGAAGTTATTTAGAGCCGTACTGATATTCAACTTTTATCACCATTTGATGAAGTTAGTAGAAGCGTACCGTTATTCAATAAACAAATCAGAGAAGTGGTCAATCCTCGCGTTCTATTCCAATGAGCTTCATGAGAGCGAGTGTCACCTCGGTGTGCTGGATGAGAGCAGTTTCATTCAAAACGGTATCGAAAAGTTTCACTGAAAACACATACCGAAGCATATCCAACAATCCGTTGAGTGGACCCGTTTCTAGCTCCTTCTATAGAGCTTAAAAATAGCACAACAAAACACGCATAACAGCGCTCACAGACACTAGGGCATAAGTTGGTACAAGGACGATTTGCGGCATTTCGGCTAAATCGTCAGAGTCGTCCAGAATCTGTTATTACAGGATGTCACTGTCTCGAAAGCGAAATCAAACCCACCAAAACCCATTATTTCGTTGATGATTTTGTCTTTATCGTAACCTGGCAATTCTGGACGAAGGAGCCAGTCTGGATATGAGGCATTGTACATGTCCTTAATTGGTAAAATTAACTCTTTGCAATCAGGAAGTCTTTATAGCGAATTGCAACGAACGATTTCGATGAGATTATCGGCCAGATCAGCGAGTTTTCCTAGTGATGTCATGTTCCATCCCGTCCTCTGGCCAACATAGTCCATTAAAGCAGCATTTTTCTTTCTTGCTTCAGCCAAATTTGGCAATAAGTCCTTCTTCGATCGGCTTCCAAACTAAATATTACAATTCAGGATTGGATAGGAAACACTTCTCAAAAACTTTTCTAATAAAATTTTAAAAGTAAGCCCTTGTTTAGATAAATTGAAGTCGTATTACAAATACCGCTCAACATATGAAACATTGTCAGAAAGGTGGATCCAATCGTCCCTCTATATAGGAGCGGAAAGGAGGACGAGCGGCAGAACATGAGGGAGGGAATGCTATCGATAAGCCTCATTGTCATCTTCATCATCTCCCAATGTCGACCGCTTTAGCTCTGCACGCTACCGCACGCGTGACAGGGTAGGTCTAGGCAAAATTGTGCAGCCACTAGGAGCTTTAGGGTCCACCGCTAATTAACCCAACAGTAATTTACAACGTTTAATGCAATGGCTGACTGCTCTAAAACTTTCGCTTTTGCTCGCTTTTGCTAAAGTTACGATTTCATGCGCGCGGTGGCGTTTGGAGCTAAACTGGTGCCTGCAAACAACCACCATCCGTCGAATGTTACCATAATTCAGCGGTTGGATGACACTTGATGTTAATGATGTCGAAATGAAAATACTCTGCCTTGTACAGTGCGCGTCAATTGTATATGCCACCCCCTAATTTTTTCAGTTTTCTGACTTATTTGGAAATTTCGTAAATCGGCATAGCAACCATCGTTTTCGGCGTGTCGGAAAACTAAGAATGGTGTTGTTTGATTTTGGTTAACGCGTGGATTTGAATTGCTCTGTTCTTTTGAAGAAAATGGGCCGCGTCAATTGCTTATGCCATCCTAAAGTTTCTTCAGAATTTCTCATGTCTCTAACGCTATTCAGCTACGGTGTGCATGTAATACAAATGAGGAAATCCTCCACTTATGCAATGCACACAAATGGTGGAGCATTTATAACTAATTAGTTCGGAATATTAGCCCTTATACTGGACGGTAGCAGCATGAAAACGCTTTATCAGAGAAAGAGCTGTGTGCTCACTCTTGCGATCGCTCCTGCTGCTTATTGTAGAACTCATCGAGGAGTGTATCCAGGCAAAACTGGGGAAATTGAAGTGCTCAAGGAGCTCTTAAATTCTCATTTTCCCGCTTCGAATCCGTGGTCAACTTTATTTGTGGTCTCGGCTCCCTGCGAAGCTCGAAGCGTTCACGCTCACAAAGTCTCTGTTCAGAGAGAATATGAGTTGCACTCACAATCCGCGTAGTACCCATCGCCGAACTTTGTCGGATTCTCTCTGGAAAAATTTTCGTACCGAGCGAGCGAAAATGATGACATGGGCCAGTTGTAACTTGAACGGGACACCGAAGTGGTGGCATGGGCCATCATTGCATCGCCTTGATAAGAAAACTTCGATCGAGTTCAGTGATGGGTACCAGACGGATAGTAGGTACGAGTCATGTTCTCTCTAACAAGAGACTTTGTGAGCGTGAACGCTTCGAGCTTCGCAGGGAGCCAAGACACAAAATAAAGTTGACCACGGATTCGAAGCGGGAAAATGAGAATTTAAGGGCCTTGAGCACTTCAATTTCCCCAGTTTTGCCTTGATACACGGTTTCGATGAGGTTCTACAATAAGCAGCAGGAGCGATCGCAAGTGTGAGCCACAGCACTTCTCTGATAAAGCGTTTTCATGCTGCTACCGTCCAGTATTAGGGCTAATATTCCGAACTAATCAGTTATAAATGCTCCACCATTTGTATGCATTGTATAAGTAGAGGATTTTTTCATTTGTACTGC